CAGGGGGCTGGGCACAGTGCCTTGAAGCTGTCCGCAGCCTGCAGCACAAGTTCAATCCCTGGCAGGCCAGGGAGCTACCCACATGTCTCAGCAGACCACTCTTATCTTGCCCACTCCTCCCCTCAGCAGTGGATTTCAGTAAATTCACCTGTTCGGCTCCCCAGAGACAGAGTGGATCCTCTCACCCCCTCCCCCACTTAGGCCTGTACCCTAGAAGTATGCATAAATAAATAAATTCTTGTATGCATAAATAAATAAATCTTTTTTAAAAAAACAAGAAAACAATCACCATATGGTAAAGGGATTATAAACCTCTTAAATTTTACATTCTGTGTACATGCAAGTGATTGAACTAGTAGAGACATAATTCTGTGCTGTTTTTGCTCACAATAGCCCTAGAAACTATGGAGAAATTCAAAGAGGAGAGTTTTTTGTCACCATGAAACCTGAAGGGAGAACATGGCTGTCCCCACACATGGGTATATACAAGTTTTTTTCAAATACATTTATTGGGCATGTCCTATAAATTCCAGGTCCAATGTTAGAGAATGATAAAGTCAAAATGAGTAAGACACACCCCATCAATTTAATTCAGTCCAGTGGGGGTGACACCTATGTACATGGGGGCAGGAGAAGGATATTGTAAAAAACACTTCAGAATAAAAATTCAAGGCTAACTTCTATGTGATCTTTTAATTACTTTGTCTCCACAAGCGAAACTTCCTTTGGCCTTTCTTGTATAAATAGTGAAACAAATAGTAAATTCTGCTTGTCCTTGTAGGCAGCTGGTGAGAGCTCTCTAAGGTATCAGTGTCTTTAGGTTTCCTTTTGAAGCTGGGTTTAAAGAAAGAAATACTAGACCATAGATAGATACTACAAATGTTTGAGGGTAACTGAATACTCCTCTTTATATTTTCCATTCCCATTGTTCTGCTTTTCTCCCTCTGAATGGTTACTTATTCTGTATATTTTTACATATCCATATGTGGAGAAGATAGGCCCAAAAGCATTTTATGAAATGTAATTATAAGATACCACAAAGCCACAAGGAGAGAAAGAGCTTAAAAGAAAGGACAAAGCTAAAACTAAATCTTCCTATTTCACATACAATCATTTATCCCTCGGCAGGCAGGGTGACCTGGTAATAAAAACAGGTGAAAATGCAGAGGAATTGCTGCTTTCAAAGTGCAGAGACTTCCTGGGAGGTGGAGTTCCTGATCGTGGGAAGAGCAGAGTCTTAAGATAAAAATGCCAAATCGGAGATAGGTCCAGTGTGGGGAAATGACGATGTAAGATTCATGATCAGTTACTCTTATTTTATTTCACATGATTATTGTGATTTAGAGCAACACTTTTAAACATGACTTTCATAAGTCTGTGTGTATTCAAAGAGCCTGATTCTGAGACACTGTCTGAAGTAGGCAATCCAGTGGGTTTACAACCCTCCCCTAGCAACTTTTGAACTTTATTTGGACAGGATAGTGAGTGAGTGTGCGGAAGGGGAGTGGATATAAATGTGTTTTTCTAAGCAATTTCCCTTTAATTAAAAATGTGTTTTGGATTTATATTTATTTACACTTGAATTATCAAAATGTTCCTTTGGAAGAATTTTTTCCCTTTGAGGCATCTTAAGTCACCCTCCCGGAAGCCACATTTTGCCATAAGTAGAAAAACTCCACACCAAGAAGTTGGAGTTTTGTTCCAGACTCTAACCCTACAATTTTGTGTGGGTTTGAAACTTGGCAAAATGCATGATCCCATCCCTAATCACAATCCATAATAGTACAGTGTGTGACAGTGGGGACAGAAGAAGGACTCTCCCGAAATATACCAATAAATCCTCTTGGGATAGTTGTCTGTGTTTTACTGTTCCCTGTGTCCAACCATCCCAGGAGGATTTCCCTCCAAGCAGACCTTTCTTAGTCCCCAAGATATTAGACAAACAGTGATCCTGACACCTATGACAATGGCCCTCACACTGTAAATTACAGCTCTTATTACAGAGAAGCCCATCTCATGCACAGCTTGCCACTGACTTCAAAAGCACATCTCATGTGTTCTGCCTGAATTCTTGGGACCTGAAGCAGACTCCATCTAGGACATTCCCACATGGCTGTCTCTCTGACACACTGGGTTCTTCATCCCGGGAATAGTTGTGAATTGTAAAGTTTCCTTTCTCAAGGGCTGAGTATAAAAAGACAAGGTAGGACTTACACCTAAACCCACTAATTTGATCATTTTCAGTTATCCTATCACCTTATTGGGAAAAAGTAAGGTTTTCTCTGAGTCATCCAAAAGGAAACAGATATTTTCTTCTCTGGGGGACTGGGGAGTAAGGGGTAGGGCCTGGCTAATCTCAACAAAGTGTCTCTTACCTTTGCCAGTTTTGCTTTCTGTAAATGTGGCACTGTCTGACCTTCTAGATAACAAAGTGCTCCACCCTTGAGCATGGGTTTCTGTGCTGAGGCCTCCACCTGATTGTTACCCACAACCTCTAAACCTCTGTGGGTGGAAGCTCAGGTCTTTTACTGCATCTAATGGCATAGGTGGAGAGTGCAAAAGCAGCAAAACAATGAAAGTAATATGAGTGTCTTTAAAAGGTATTTGTTAGCACTTACCCATGGCCCTAACTATTATTTAAGGGAAACATTATAATTGTGGTGAAATTATAGATTACTGTTTTTCTCAGACTTCCTACAGTTAACCTCTACCCATTATGTTCCTATATTTGGAACAGTCCACTGAGCTACTTGGAGGAAGGCCATTAGCTCAGTGCTTGCAACTGGAGTTATAAGAGAAAAAAATAAAAGTGAATTTTTATGATAATTCTTATTTCATAAAGTGTCACGCTATTTATAGAAAAATGAGACAGTAAAGTGTGCTTTCTTTTAAATCTGGCCTTTACTGCACCCTATAATTTATGGTAATGTAATAAGTGATTTGAAAATAAAGATTTGAGACAACATTTCAGCATTAGTGTTTTTAAGACAAAACAAACATTCAAAATAAAACCTAAACCGCCAAAGTGAACTCTATCATTAAATGCCTACTTTTTGCTAAATTTGTAGTTATGGCAGCTCAAAATCTCAAACTCTTCAATTGTGACCTCTTGCAAAATAAAAATAATTGTATTATTTTCTGTGGCACAGGGGCATTATGGCCCATTATTTCTTTCCTCCCCAAAGTCCAAGTGGATTTGCTTCAGTTGCTATTAAATGGGATTAATGAACTTAGAGGATTTTAAATAACCATATGAGATTTCAGAGATGAGCAAACTGCCTATAATATTTCAGGCTCCTGATTCTGAATTATTTCAGTGTTGTCTTATCAAGCCTCATTGAATCTTACTCCATTGTACATTTATAAATCAGTGTGAACTTTTTAGCTTGTGTGAAATAAATTCAGACACCTCCTTTCCTGCCCATGGTATGAAATCTTCTAACATACTATTGTGCCAAAAATAAATGTGAGAAATACTGTAAATAATAAATGCCAGACAGTTCAATTGAGATCATTAATATTGTGAAGCAATTCTCTCATCTTCATTCATTATTTTTTCTGTCATTTAAGAAGAGCACACTGCCTAACTCAGTCTGTCATACAGGGTAAAATGATACAGAGGAGAAAGCCCTAAAGCTAAGGACACTATAACAATTTCCCTTCCTTTCCCACTCCCACAACATACTTCCCTCACTGGGTGGGTTGCTCTAAAATATTTTTATAACATCCTACCTTTGCACCCCTAAGTTCATCTTCCTTGCCAATGCCTAGTGCTTGCTCATGCTGTTTGATAACCCACAGGTGTCTCTGAGAACATCACAAAAAGGATCAGCCCAGTTGTTACTGATGTCAGGGATATGAGAAGTGTCAGACCTAATTGGAGGCTCAGGAGATGCAGAACCAGTAAATCTGGGGTCACACAAAGATTAATATCTAAAGATAATTTGTATGAAACTTGTGAAACAAATCATCAAGGATGTTGTCCATAGGTGGCATACCACACATTACTTTCTAACTCTTTCCTATAGTTAAACTGTATTCAAAATGGCCAACCAATGAAGACCCCATGATGGTCTTCTAAAGTCTCACATTCACACTCAGCGTGTGGTTGGCAGGTGTCTCACACCAACAGCACCTGAGTGTCCATCAGAAATGCAGCATCTACTAACTCAGAATCCACATTTTTAACAAGATCCCCAGGAATCCATATGCATAATCAAGATGACGAAGCATGTTCTAAACATTTGTTCTTAAAATGTGAGCTACAGACCACCTTAGCTGTACCACCTGGGGTGCTTCTTAAATATTCCTGTTTGGCTTACCATCTGGGTCCCATTTAGATCTTCTTAATCAGATTTTCTGAGGGTGATGCCCAAGAATTTGCATTCTAAAAAAGTACTAGGGGTCCTTGATGCTCAAAATGGATCCAAAGACTGACAGGATCAGCATCACCTGGAAGCTTGTTAGAAATGCAGACTCTCAGGCCCCACCTGCAACCTATTGAATCAGTCCCTGCATTTTAACAAGATCCCCAGGTGATTCCTGTGCACATTATATTCTGAAAGTCATTGCTCCAGGTGATTGTGCATACTAACATAAAAAAAAAAAAAAACCAAAATAAAAAACAACAACAAAAAACCTGTTATAAAATACATAATATTGTTGTAGGTATAAAAAAAAAAAAAAACAAACTTTGTGGTATTTGATCTCCTGTAGTTTTAAATGGCAAAGAAAAACACAAGCTCTTCCACCAGGCTCACTCCTCACAATTGCAGGGCCTGGGATAAACAGACAGTTGAGGCTCATATATAACATGTCTAAATGTTTAAGTTCTTAAATCAAGTTTAAACAATTGTCAAAACATTCTCTATCATCCTACTTGTAAAAATTTACCAAGTTTAAAATCTTTAAACTCCTTAGATTTTTGTGACAAAATGTGACAGAGCAAAGAGAACTCCGCCCAACTCTTGGTTTGTGACCTGTCTCTCTTCTCATTGCAGCCCAGGTTCTGTCCCACACCATGAGACCTCAAGGACACTTTTGTAGATACTTCACCCTACACCGTGGCAGCAGCTGGATATAGCTAGAGGTATGAGCTGACCCAGTTTTCCTTACTCTTGCCCAGAAGAACAATCCCAGAGAGGATGCCCATGCTGGCCCCAAGGGCCAGCACAGAGCCTTTCAGGAAGCAATTTCAGCTTCAGGTGCTTCAGGCATAATGCAAGAAAGGACATGTGACATGTCCTCTTGAAAAGTCAGTTCCTTAACCTGGGTTGGGGCCCATGTTAGAGCTCTCCTTTCAGTCTAAAGGTATTACCACTGGCAAACTGGATGCTGATGAACCCACCATATCAGAAGAACATATAGAATCTGACTAAGGGCATGCAACCCAAAATTTTGTAGCTCCTTAGATTCATTACTTCTCTGTGTGACTTTGAGCAAATTATAATCCTTCATTTTTTGTCAATAAATGAGGGTCAGAAATGAGAACACCTCATAGGACTGTTGTGAGAACTAAATAATAATCTACATTTTAAGCAATTAGCACAATACCTTCAAGATAGAAACTTAGTAAATGCAAGGAATTATCAATGTAGATTATTATTTTCCTAAATTTCTGCTTAGGCATGATTTATACTGCCAAAAACATTTGCTATCACATTTTGTAATATTTCATATTTTAAGTAAAGAAAACATTTTTGCTCATAACTAATAGGGCACCAGGAGATTTTTAGGTAGAAAACAAGTCTTTTTTTTTTTTTTAAGAAATATTTATTTATGCATACAAGAACTGGGGAACAGGCCAGAGGTGTCGGGGTGGGGGATGTGTGAGAGAATTCACCAGAGACAGAGTGGAGAACACAACAGGCAGAATGACTGAAGTACACTGCTGAGGGGAGCAGCGTGGAGAGAGGAGAAGTCTGCTGTGCCAAGTGGGTTTCTCCCTGGCCAGGGATCGAATTCATGCTGCAGTGGCCGTGGACAACTTCATAGGCTGCGTCCCAACCCCCTGCGCCACCAGGGAGGCCCACAAATCGCATTTTTTTTTTAAGGACAATATTTCTAGCACCAATCAGGCACAAGCTAGTGCCAAGAAAAGTAAGAGAAGGTGAACAATAATGACAAACCAAGTTGTAGGGTAACTGAAATGGTCAGGCTTTTCTGCCACTGGCCTGTGCTTATCACCTGGGGCCTTGAATACAGGGTGCACTTGGGAGTCTGGGCTCGGGGCACACATGCCTGGTGGTGGACACCTGTAGTATGGTGTGGGCATGCGCAAGTGGGCACACACCTGAGCCTGGAGGCTGAGGCTATAAGGGCAGCATCACAGAGAGTGAGGATGGTGGCAGAAGGACTACCAGAGGATGTATGACTACAGAGAGGCAGGATCACAAGAAGACCCAGAGAGAGAGAGTAAAGATTCACCAGGGCCTGGGAGGCCTGCCAGCCTCTGGGACCCTGGCCTCCCTGCCTTACTGGCCTGTGGGCCTGCCCCACAACATTTGGTGTTGAAAGAGCATTAAAGCCTGGAAAAAGCCACTGAGGACAGCAGGACTCTTCTTTTTCCGTCTGCCTGAATCAATAGAGAACCTGCCGAGTGCTTGCTGGCACTATACAAGTTAAACAGTGGGGCAGAAAATCAAAGAGAGAACCTTGAGAAGAGGGTACCTGGGGATCTGAGGAAGGAGGGAGTAGAAAATTTCATGCATTAAGAGACTACATTATGCTAAAGAAAGGTCAAACACAATGAGGAACAGAAAATTAATTCTTCACCTTTGCAGGAAGATAGTAATCGGTGATAATATCACCAACATTGCAGTGAGTTGGACAGATTGGCTGAGGAGCAACTGGAGTTGGAGGGTGTTCACTTCTCTTTTAAGAAGTTTAATTGTACGAGAAGAGGGAAAGAAAGACAAATGACTTCTTCAGGGGGAACAAGGTTAGGAGAATATAATCAAATACTTTTTAGTTTGTCTTTACATGTTTGAGAATAGAGACACCAACGACCCATTTATTGAAATATTGAAAGCCCCCTACTTATATCAAATTCAAAGTTCTTAGATTATGAAACAAATTTGAAAGATGAGAGGAAGATTCAGAGGACAGGGATAAGAACAAGAAGACATAGCTGACCCATCAGCCTCCCAGGAACACAGAGGGATTCTGACTTCTGACTTGAAATTATGGGACTCAGATTTTTGAAGTTATATTTTCTCTTTAAAAATAAAAGATCATCTTCTTAGGGTGAGATGGGTGGGAATGGAGCAAGGAACATGAGATGTTCAGAATGTCAGGCTTAAAATTGTGAAATAAACCTAACAGGTAAATATACGTTTTAGATTTGGTTATCTGGATATGGCTGGGTGGGCAGGCTTTTTTATGACTTTGATTGTGTGGATAATTGCCTCATATTTCCACTGTCTGGGTAGATACTACTTATGGATTTTAGATGTTTCCCTAGAGCTATGAACTGTCACCATAGTTCAAGCCTTACAATAGAAACTAAACAAGGCTTTTTGGAAGGAGAAAAGAAATGTTTTGCATCAAACTTCATGACGTGCCATGCTGCTAATGCGTTTTGAATTCCACACTCCAAAACATCTGGCAAGGCTCCCATGATTCATACATCCATTGAGAGCTTAGAGCTCCAAATTTAGTTAAATAAATTGTTAAGAATGTGTTTTTATTATATAAACTTGAGCTCCAAATAAGTCCAAATACTCTTGGAAATTTCAAACATGAATCCCATAAATAGTTCTCTAGACTTTGACTGTAAGGATCTTCGTGGCTGAATGATTTTTTAGCGATGATTTCAGTACAAAGAACATACCAATGAGTTGTCGCTTTGCTTTAGCCATTGCAAAGATTGTTTACTGACAGGAAATTTCAGTAATCGATAATTGATATTTAGTATGGCTATTTCTGCCCTACAAAGAAATATGTATACACTCAAAATATTTTGCTGTGTTTTGAGCAAATTTTAAACCTTGAGATAGTTGGCACCATGCCTAGAGTAATTGTTTCCTAGTGAAACATTCTCCATAACAATAATTAAATTTGAATTTATGAACGTGTTAAGGACATTTTACATTAAAACGATAATTAACTACAAAGAAGCTAATTTTAAATTTACTCTAGATGCTCTAATTTATACATTATTTTGAATTCTCCCAGTACCTAAAGCTTTCATGTGTACAAAAATCACCTTGGAGATCTTGACAAAAATGCAGATTCCAATTCAGTACGTCTGAAGAAGGACCTGTAACTGCATTTCTAACATATCCCCTGTGATCCCTGGGCCTCGGGACACACATTGAGTAGCAAAGAACTAGCGTCTTTCAGAAAGAGCAACCTGCAGATAGTTTAGGGATAATTTGGGAGCTGCCCTCTAGTCAAAATAATAAGGAAAGGCATTCTATAGTCAAAAATTTCTGTGATCAGTGCTTTTACTGATTTCAATATTTTTCTTTTGGAGATAGAAACTTCAGGTAAGCACAAAAGAGCCCAAACTCTCATGTTTTAATATTATTGCCATATTCACCCACCGCAATCAGAGAACTCTTGAGCATTCTGTATACTAGTAAGTAAGCAGCTCCTTTATTGCGACAGGAACTTTGTTGCCACTTTGCAGCCTGAACAGGAATGCCATGAGCGAAACAGCAGTTGTAGAGCAGGTTTGCAAGGCAAGACTCTGCTACTTGAGCAGAAGTTCTTGTGCCAGTTATTGACAGCATATTAGCTAGTAAAAGCTGATCATGCAACGATGGCATGAGGAATAAAGTCCGGAGGGTGGGATTGGAATGGGGGACAAAGTTTTACGAGAAACAGAGGCAACATCATGAACATATGTCAAGAGACATTTGCGTCAGCAAAGTATTATCACAGGACCGCCATGGAGATAGTTATGTAATCAGGTCAACAATGGCCTAGATGTCCCCGGGCCTGCCTCATGATACGGGCTATTCTCCGTAGGTAGTCAAGGAATGTTCTGCTGTGATTTGCAGATAGTAAATAGGTCACCGTTTCCCGTGAGTGGCCAGTTAGGAGCCAGCTCATAGGAACCCACACTCCTTCATTAGAGTAGCTGCTCTTAGACCACAAGTTCTAAGAGAAAGTACATTCTTTCTTTCATCACAAATGTGGAAAGGTGTTCTTATGAATCCCTAGGAATTTTTCTTTTTTTTTTTTAAGATTTATTTATTTATGCATACAAGAACTGGGGTACAGGCCAGAGGTGTGAGGGTGAGAGGATTCACCAGAGACAGAGTGGGGAACAGAACAGGCAGACTGACTGAAATACACTGCTGAGGGGAGCAGAGGGCGAGTCAGAAGAGGTGTGCTGTGCCATGTAGGTCACCTCTCTGGCCGGGGATCAAACTCGTGCTGCAATGTCTGCTGATAGATTCAAAGTGCTGAGACTTAACCCCTTGCACCACCAGGAGGCTCTGGGAATTTTTCTTTAGAATTATTTCTTATCAACTAATCAACATGGTGTGCATAGACTAGCCTACAAGTCCTTGCACACATGCCCCCTGCCTAACCTTTCAATTCTGTCACTACTCTGTCCCCAGAGGAATCTACATCTGCCCTATCGCCAGTGTGACCAGGTGCCCTTCTTCTCACTGTTTCCTTCGCCTTGTGCACTTTGGCACTCACTCTAGATCCTGAATCTCAACCCCACTTCCTGCTTAGACTATTCATCTCAGCTCAAGCATGGATTCTCTCCCAGGGCTTCTCTGAGACCCTGGCCCAGGGTAAATTCCCCCAGCACCCTTTTCCCAAGTCAGTTAACATAATTAGCAATTACACATGTGTTTCTTCCCTCAATTATTTAATGTCTCCCACTGAACCAAAAGCTCCATAAATACAAGAATTGGGTATGTTTTGTCTCCAGTTCTTGTCATACAATTGGGCTCTCTTAGGGTAAACAGTGGAGGAAGAAAAGCCTAAATATTTCCTTTCACTGGAAATATTTTATTTGCGCTAGTTTGGAGCCCACTAAGGGACATTTTATAAAACTCCTATGACTGTGAGGGAAGGACTTTAACATCTCCTTGATACTACCAACTCTATGATGATGGTTATTAA